TAAGAAAGGGGATGAGTTAGAATCACTCTCCCACGGTCTCTTATAAGTCGTGTTTGATTTGATACTATGTCACAGTGATACCTGAGCAGGCACGCCGAGGGGGGTTATCAGATTGGTGGTTCTGAAAAGAACCGTTTCTGATTGGTCGCGATGGTATATCGACCGTAAGCGTAGTAACAACGCTACTAGTTCGTCAACGCCGAAGACTGCCTTGCATATCGACCGTTCTCGCCGCTGCGTCGATGGTTTCGTCCGTGGTGGTGAGCTGGAACGCTGTGCTTGTCGTCGGTTGCCGCTTCGTATAACGAGTGTCTTTGTCGCTACGCTAATGGCCTCGTCCGTGGTGTGACCGGGAACGCTGCGCTCGTCGTTTCGTATAACGAGTGTTTCGCCGCTACGCCGATGGCTTCGTCCGTAGCATAAGGTGAAGATGTTGTGATCGTCGATTGCCGCTAGGGATGCGCAAACAACATCGATATTATAGCCGCTGTATCGATGACTTTGTCTGCGGTGTAGGCTGGAACGCTGCGTTGATGAATTCTTGATGTGTCTTGATTCCTTCTGTAGTTCGGTGTGTGTAGGTTGGACTGGTTGAAGGATTATTGAAGACTGTGTTKGTTATGTTGAATCGTCCGGTATGCAAGTCGTCTGCCGTACCGACTAGTAAACTATCTGCTGCCGCCGTGTTTAGTTGTGTTTACTCGTGGTACGATACATTATGTAGTTACTCTGTTTTGGAGTAATTGACGTGGTGAGGGTATCGTTGGATTCGTCTTACTCTCCCCTATCTRCAACCCTTATTGTTTTTGGTGTGTTGTTATTTGGGGCTTTATTATTGTTCCCTAATGTTAGTCTGTGGGGTTTATGCTGTCATACTGTGCGCTGATTGGTGGTCTTGGAAAGGACCGTTTTATATGGTGACGWYTCCGTTACACACAAAACAAAAATTTTGGTCATTGAAATTCAAACTTGTATTCATTGTTTAAAAACAAATTTGAATTTGAAGTATCTAAAGCAAAAAAAACTTTGTTTATATATTATTTTTAGATTTTTTAGTTACAGTCTTGCAGAAGAAATTAATTATATGGTTAAGTTTTTATATTTATTTACTATGTATTATCAAATATCTATCTTAAGCTAATCTCGTGATAGAGATAGACAGTTACATCATTATTATTTGGATAATTTAGAAATGATACCAACTTAATTATGTCAATATTATTATAAATATTTTTTGGTGAGAAATTTGAACAATACGAAAAATTTCTAAAGAATATTTATTTAATTATATCAGCGAGGAATAATATTTTGAAAATTAATATGAAGTGCAAACTCGGATGAAATAAACCAAGGAGCTCGGTTATTATACGGAATAGGYGTTTTGACATATTTGCATACAATACAATTTATCATAAATATATGCATTTTTGTATTGATATAACTTTATCCTCGGAATCTGTTATTGGATATTACAAATTGATAACGAAAAGGGTAAAAYAATTCTTGAAATGTTTAATAGATGAGAGATCTTAAAGATCGAAAATCAAGTCTAGAATATTTAGGAAATCAGAGGTAATTTTAGTGAGGTAATTTTCCAGTTTTCTCAATAGTTTATCAAAGTAGCAGAAAGTATTATGAATTTCAAACTTAATACGACAACAATAATCCAACTGCGCCGTGACTTTTGGTAAACAAAACGAGAAAAGTTACCAAAAACAGATTTCTGTATGCTGTCTTAACATACATATTCACGTTGATTAATTAAATTGGGATCTGAAATAACATTCATTCATTGAAATATGTATCTTATTGACGGTTCATTTCATGATCGTTTTACGAAGATTTAATAAATTGTAAAATTTTGTTCTCAATATTTTTATAGTTTTAGATTTCATCACAATATTTAAAATGTATGTTTATAAAACAAACAAAAAATATACCGTAGATAGAACCTACAATATTTTGTGCGCGTAATACATGGTAATTACATTGATTAAAGATTATTATTTATGGTTGTTAATATTATAAATAATATTTTAGATTACTTCTTTATAAATATTATTAACAAGTTAAGTAAGAAATATTATATATGTTTTTTATTGTAATCGTATTAATTAATTTATGGAATTTATTTTGGATTAAAATTATGACAATTACTATTTTAAATAATATTTTATTAATCAGATAATTAAAAAAAATATATATATATATATACCTAATTAGCAAATATTCAATTGATAGTCATATTTCAAAACACTTTTTCATAAATTCTTAAATTCATAAAAAAAAGCGGGTAATTGGATGTCACTATGCTGTACATTAGGTGGTGGGGTGGACCTTTGACTAGGGTAGGTTAGATTTGAATGCAATGATAGCCGATAGGTATTATTGTATACGAAAAACGATTCTGAACGGAGATGATTTGTCAGTCTAGGATATATTATATTTAAATATTGTCATATATTATATTTTGAAACAAAATATTTTATTTTTCAGTTACGATGCATTTTGCATAAGGCGTGGTTAATCAATTTTTCCAAAAACGTTGCATGTAGTTATCATAATTCATAATAGGTACCTTATATTATCATAGATATATGTATACCTGATTTCATAAAAATTTAAAACTCAAACACTCAAAACATTTTTCCTATAATGATGCTTCGAGTTTTCTCTATAGCTACTTGAAGAAAAACTTATGGGAAACTTTGTGTTGTATTTTTAATCCTTAGTTATGAACACAAGCATTTTTATGATTTTTCAACTTCAAAATAATTTTCAAATATTCATGGTTTTGACGAATTTTTGTCAATATTTGAACTTCAAATGCTAATAAAAAAAAATTGTGCCTATGTATTCTTATAATTTTTTAATCAATATTAGAATAACTTATGAAAAATTTTGTATTAAATTTTCAAGTATTTTGATTAGGCCAAACAAATTTTATC